TTACCGTGGTAAAATTGATCCCTGCCTTTCCTCCCGCGGCTCAATAGTCCCAGCTAACGAGAGGCGTGCTAGAACAGGCGAACTTGCTGCTATTTATTCTGTTGTGTGGGCTGTGTTTTACGGTTGTCGTCGGTCCAATTATTGGTAACCGTTTAGCGAGTTGTTTTTTTTTCTCCACCCGCACGCACTTCCGGGGCGGCGGTATGTGCATGCATGCTAGATAGGCGCAGGTTTTTGTAGATGTTGGGGCATGTGTTTTGAGGAAGTCTGCACGGCGATACCCATCTTCATTTGCTGCGAGCGGGGGCCCCGCGGCGCGGTTGGGGGGGGGGGTGGAGGGCGAGTAAATAGGCTAGTTAGGTGAGGCTTGATGCTTCGTTGATGGTGTTGGCCGTGTACGTACGTACGTGATACCGTAGAACTTCGTATTTATTTGCTGTGCACTAGTCGTGAAGGCACGCGGCAGTAGTGAAGTCGGAGGGGCAAGTTCAGGGAAGGCTCAAGAGACGGGTGCTAAAGAGGACAAGAGGAAATCGTTGACCGCATGTGACCAGAGGCTTGTATTTGGTGGGACACTTCTGCTACTAATGTAGCAGTAGCAAAGTTTTTACGTCACGTACAGTAGAAGGGTTTTTGAGTTTTTGATGGTAGTCCAGGCTTTCTTTCCTTGGTGTTGTCGTTTCTTCTACTTCTCCTGCTGTTGTTTTTTGGGGGACCACTTGGGCTGATATTTTGTGGTGTTTCACACGGCAATGGTGCGCTCCCTTGGTATATTGAAAGTAGTTGGTGTCGCTCGATCCATTCCACGTTTCACACGGTGTACTCTGTCTCACCGATACTCTAGTCTATATTTGTATGCTGCTGCTGCTTCCGCTGCTACACCGCGTTGGGTGCCCTGCCAGCTGTATGAACCGCTGTACGTCCGGGTAGTAGGTAGGGTATGGAGCAGGGTATGGAACAATCTGTCGAGCAGCAAGGGGTCCCCCCGCAGATGCTCGGTGCGCAGAGGGGAGGCTTTCAAAGCAACAGAGGTTGGTTGTCGAGAGATTCCACGAACCGCTGTAGTAATGTCGAACGAACGGTGAAGCATGAAGGGCACGAACCAATTCTAGCGTGCGGCCACGACCGGCGCACGATCGATCATCGGGGTGGGTGAGGGGCGTGGAATGTTTGGGGGGGGGGGGGGGGGGTAAGGGGGGGCAGCGACGGAGGGTCAGAATGAGAAGGTGGACCTGTGTTGTCCACCGGGAAGCTAAGAATACGGTCTTGTGTACGTGAGTGTGCCGTTGTTTTTTTTTCCTGTTCGTAGAGTGGGTGTCCGTGAGTGTATCATCGTAGAGCGTGAGGGCGGAGGGCTTCTCCGAAAAGATAGTGTTCAGCTTGGGCAGTTGCCATCTACCCCCCGTGAGATGGCGGAGAGGAGAAGTGAAACTGGGCCGGTCAAAGATTGAGTCGTGTCGAATGGATGGGGTTGCATCTCTCCCCTGTTGGTGTGTGAATGCCGCGCTCTTTTGCCAAACAGACGTTTGCTTGAATGGTTGGCGTGCTTGCTTCTTTGTGTTGTGTGCGTGTGTTTTTTTTCTCTTTTTGCCTTCCCGTCCCCGTGGTGGAGACGTGGTCTTGTTTTTGCGCTTGTCCTTGACGTTGTGTTGATTGCTTTTATACTGTACGGTTGTTTTGCACTTGTCCTCAACGTTGTATTCGTTGCTTGTACACGGCCCTGTTGGGGCCTTTTGTGTATTTTTGTGCTTGCTCTGCTCACTCCGCGATGGTGCTGCCGTCGTATACCACGTATACACGTGTCGATGTGCGAGCGCATTCCATGGTGTGTCTACTCTACGCTGCTTTGCTTCGCGTAGTACGCACGCATACGCAGCGGGCGGCCACCGCGTGTCGCCTACCTGGGAGTCCAGTTGTCTGTCCCACTAAAAACAC